GGGGGCCGTGCAGACCGGGGCTGTGCAAACCCGCGCCCCTCCCCGACCCCGTCTCACCCGGCCCTGCCTCCCCGCAGTCCTGCGGTGCCTGGGGGTCCCCAGCCGAGTGGTCACCAACTACAACTCGGCCCACGACACCAATGGCAACCTGGTCATCGACCGCTACCTCAGCGAGACGGGCAAGGAGGAGCGGCGCTCCAGGGACATGATCTGGTGAGCGGCACCGGGGACCCCTGCCCGCCCCCCTTCCCTCCCTGCAGCCCGGGGGGCACTGGGGGACGCTGAGCCCCCGCGTCCTGGCTCCTGGGGCAGGAACTTCCACTGCTGGGTCGAGTCCTGGATGACCCGTCCTGACCTGGCACCCGGCTACGATGGTTGGCAGGTGCTGGACCCCACGCCGCAGGAGAAGAGCGAGGGTATGGCATGGACCATATGGGATCCCATCCATCCCCATCCCAATCCCCATCCCGTGTCCCCACTATGGCACAGTCTCGCCCCCATGGTGGCTGGGCCCCGGGTGGTGACGGTGGCCCCGCTCCCCACAGGGGTGTTCTGCTGCGGGCCGGCCCCCGTCAAGGCCATCAAGGAGGGGGAGCTGCAGCTCCTGTACGACACCCCCTTCGTCTTCGCCGAGGTGAACGCCGATGTCGTGTACTGGGTGGTGCGGGGCGACGGCTCCGAGAAGAAGAGCACCCACTCCTCGGTGGTGGGGAAGAACATCAGCACCAAGAGCGTGGGCAGGGACAGCCGGGAGGACATCACCCACACCTACAAATACCCCGAGGGTACGGGCGGCCGTGGGGCAGAGACACTTGGGGGGGCGGTTTTTGGAGCAGGAGAATGATTCATTAACGCAGTAAGTGCAGCAGGGATGAGGACACAGCAGCCTGGACCCCAGGGAACCTTGTTTTTTCCCCATTTTTCCTCCCGCAGGGTCTGATAAGGAGCGGGAGGTGTTTGAGAAGGCCGAGCTCGAGACGCAGTGGCTGCGGGAGGAGGAGGAGGGGCTGCCCCTCCGCCTCAAGCTGGCGGGGGGCGCGGACAACGGCCGCGACTTCGACGTCTTGGCCGTGGTGGGCAACGCCTCGGACGCGGAGCGCGAGTGCCGGCTGACGCTGTGCGCTCGCACCGCCAGCTACAGCGGCGCCGTGGGGCCGCAGTGCGGGATGAAGGACCTGCTCAACCTGGTCCTGGCGCCCCACGAAGGTACGGCCTGGTCAGCGACGGGGACGCTGCGTGGGGCTGGGCTCGGGTCAGCGATGGTCCCGTGTCCAGAGGCTGCGGGGCTGGGGGCCACGGTGCTGGGGATGGGTCCCCATGGCCGCGCTCAGCACCCGGGGCTCAGCACCAGCCTCCCTGCACTGGAGCTCTCAGCATCTCCTCGGGTGGGTGCGATGGCCCCGGCGTTTCGGCACAGAGCCCCCTGGCACGGCCCCACTGACCCTTGGTTGGCCTTCGTTACAAACTAAACAAGAGCTCGGCTTACATCAGTTTTCCAGGGACCCTTCAGGCCTCGCAGATGTGATCCATCTGCTGCGGGGAACGGCCTCATCCTTAACCTGTGCCAAAATCTGCTCTAACGGGGCCGTAACCAACGCAGCCCCCGCTCTGCTGTGTGCTGGGCTGTGCCAAGGCAATAACGAACACGTGCGCTCTCACCGCTGCCTTTGCTTTAGGGTCTTCAACGTTCCCGTCCATGAGTTAATCCAGCATCATCTAACACAACCCCTTCGCTTTGGGAAGGGACTGACCCCCCCAGCGCAGGCTCAGTGGTGGGCTCATGGTGCCGTGCCCACCCCATGGTGTCCCTTCCCCACATCCATGGCCCCAGCACTGCAGAGACTTCCCCATCCTCACGAGGCGCCTGGAGAAGCTCAGACCATCCCAGTCCACCGCAGTAGCAGGGTTGGGAAGGGGGTGAGTGCTGACCCCACTGTGCTCCCCCCGCAGAGAAGTGCGTGCCCCTGCGCATCCTCTACGAGAAGTATGGGGAGAGCCTGACCCAGGACAACATCATCAAGGTGGTGGCGCTGCTGACCGAGTACCAGAGCGGGGACGTGGTGGTGGCCGTCAGGGACGTCTACGTCCAGAACCCCGAGATCAAGATCAGGGTAAGGGCTTGGTGCCCACCCGGGCGGGTTTTGGGGGGGGTGTCCCATTCACAGGTGCTGCAGTCACCCTGGGGGGTGGTCCCAGTGACCATGGGGCAGCTCCTGCATCGCTAGGGGGACCTGCACCCCCATATCTGCACCCCTGGGACCCGCCTCAGGGGCAGGGGAGCACCGCAGCCCCCCAGCAGGGCAGTGCTGGGGGTCCAACCCCTC